TCTTTCCCAACAATCTTTCTTCTCTCTTATGGTTCGGATGCATTCAGTGTACTCTAGCCGAAGATATGTCTCTCACGACTCTGGTCATCATTCAATTTAAAGTTGGCGTTTAATCTTCACCGTTCAGGACATTGGGACCATGTTAAATATATCAATTATTTAATATATTTAATATTATATTATAATAATGGTTGTTATCTATTATAGTTAGAGTTATTATTATATAATATTACCTTATATATTTAGTCATTAATGTGGAAAACTCTAGAATATATTCCTACACCTATAAATACATACTTTATATTCCTCTCTTAGTCATTCAATCAATAAAGTATAATTTATTATTTGTACATTTTGCTTATCAAACACACACTTAAAACATAAGGAAAGATACAAAACATGACTCTTATGTTTTTATTTTCAAAAATAAGACTAAAATTTATTTTTTAAAAACATTGCGCTCTATTAAAAAATCAATGCGACCATTTTTTCGTCACAGTGCCAAAGTTTCAATCCTAATATTACAGTGACAAAAAACAAAAATTGCTTACTTTATATGGAATAAATACATATTTAACCCTAAAATTATTTCTGGTCCTATTTAAGGAATTGAAATATGTCAATCATATTTAGAAAATAAGTTTGTTTCAAACAAAATGTTGAATCTCAATTCCTAGGGTCTCTTAATGCTGGTCCAGACAAGATAAGATTATTTCAAATAAATATATTGCAGGTTTTCGAAAAGTAAACTAATAATCGGGTGTCCATATGAGTAATGACTAAAAATATGTTCTTTAGATATTATAGTGTTAACTTACCATTTTTATCTCTTTTTTCAAATTTTTTTAGTTTCTTTCATTCTTTCTACTTTCTTCTAGTTTTCTCAGTTTCTTTTAATTTTTTTTAGTTTTTTTCAGTTTTTTCGAGTTTCTTCTAATGTTTTGGACTATTTATATTTTCTTCCATTTTTTCTATTCTTCAAATAATGACTCTAAAAATGAAGCGTTTTTCATGTATTATTATGATTATTTCTGTCATTACGTTCATAACAATAGTTTATAAATTTTTTTCAAATTTTCAATTTTATCTTTTCCCATATCACTTTTTTTTATTCACACATTATTTTTTCCTATTTTTAATATAAATAATATGGAGTACAATTTTATTAAAAATAATTGTTTTTTTGTAGTGAGTGTGAATCAAAAAATAGTGACATGAGAAAAAATAAAAATTGAACTAATTTATAAACTATTTTTATGAACATAATAATAATAATAATAATAATAATAATATTATTATTATTATTAACAACAACAACGATCAATAACAATTATAATGAGAATAATATGAAAAATATACTTAAATAAAAATTTGAGTTATTTCCATTTTGTTCTAATTTTTTCAGTTTCTTTCAATATCCAAGTGGGTGTTTTTATTGATACGTTTGTAATACACCGTGTTAAGAAGAGAATAAAAAAGTGATAAAAAAGATTGATGATACTATTCATACCAGTAAGAATATGCATCTTTTTTTCGAAAATTCATCACCTAGTAACTCCAAAGTTAAGTGTGATGAATTCGGATCAACCCTGTGATGAGTGAACTATTGGAAAGTCAACACAAAAATCTCTTTCTATCTTAAATTCCCTAAAATGAAAATATCTTCCTTTCTTGTTGGTCTTCCGTTGTAGAATTAGTTTGTAATGGAACCATTACATAAAATTAGGAGGTTTTGAAAACACAATTGCAGTCTGCAAAGCATAACAACTTACCAACATTTTTTTAAGCAATCCATTTGTAACACGAAATGAAAGGCACTTATAATAATTATGGCCCTTATAATTAATCTTTCATGTATATCATTTTCAACCTCCCAGTTTCAATAATTTTTTTAATCGCTGTTCTAATTCACAACTTTTTTATGAGAGAGAGAATAATAATAATCAAAATTATACAGAGTACATAAGAAAATAAGAAATCATTCAAAATAGGAATCAAACATAATTCTTATTTTCAAAATATGAGCGAGATCTTTCTACTATAAAAATAGGACGCGTTTCAAAATACGAGTGATATCTTTATATTCTTAAAATAGAACGTTGCAATCTGACAATATGACATTATATATATATATATATATATATATATATATATATATATATATATATATATATATTGTTATTTTACATTATTTTTTGTTATTATATATTGACATTCTTGATATTGGGAGTCTTATTCTGAAAATAAAAAATGAAAATTCTATTTTTAGTTTCTTTCCTATTTTTACACCTATTTTAATTAGTTTCTCTCCCATTGTACATCAGACGACAATTCATCAATTTCCGTCAAAATATTTGTAGGTAAAAAAACAAAAGGTTTCATTTTTTTGAAAACGTTTAGTTAAATCACATTATTGTACTCTAAGGTTGACAACTCAATTATTAACCTATGATTTGTGTTTTAAAATTCATTTAATAATTTTATCATACACGGAGTTTTATTTAATTTGTTTAAAATACTAAAAATAGTACGATTCTATATGAAATATATAGGTCAATGTGTCAAACAGATCTAGTGTTGACTTTTGTTGGGTGAAATTGTGAAAATCATTTACACTATTCCTCTCTAAATAAATTCCAAAGCAAAGATTGTTTACAATTATTTTGAAAATACAAACAATAAATTTGTTTATTTTGTGAACTTTGTTTTGTAATTCTAACCTTTTAAATAAAATTTAGAAGATTGTACTTCTTCCGTCCTCCATAAATATTTTAATTGTGCGTTGCGATGTTTGATTAACTTTATTTTCAGTTCAATTTATTTGATTTCAGGTCTAAAAATTAAAAATAAAATTTATGTAGCAAAAAACTACCAAAAAAAATCTACAAAACCAGATTTGACAAAATTATATTATTTTACTCCGTATTAAATAAGTAGTAAAAATAATCAAATAAAATGAGTTATATCTGACTTAATAGTGTCAGAAAAGATTTTTAGGTGACGAAGGGAATATTTTGATACAAACCTCATCAGTTAATCGAAATTAATTATATTTCTTAATTTTTAAATTAAAATAAAATGGATTTAACAAAACACACACACGTTCAAAGAAACTTCTACTCGTAACAAATGTTTGATTGGATTATTATACTCATATGACTGTCACACTATTTCGCACAATCTTAAGGACTCGAAAAATCAAACTACACACAGGTACCACCACCCCCCCACAATTATTTTATTTTTTGATAGCACCCCCACATTTATTTGTTTTTTCTTCAACGTGCAAATATTCCACTCCCACGCACCATTTTAAACCTCAGGGGTTGAAAAGAAAAAAAAAACATTAAACTAACAAGAGAGACACTTTGGAGTGGTTTATTTGATCACCACCCACAAAGACTGCCAATGGACGTATGCCCGAGTTCGATTTTTGATAATTGCACTGGAAGACAATCATACAAGTACCATACACATGCTCCACTCTCTGCTATCAATCTGTGATTAAAGTTTAATTTAATTACCTACTTTTGGTGATCGTCCGACCGCGTATGAGAAATTCTTGGGGATGTGGATCATCCTTTTAAAACTCTCCTTCAAGATGCTCTAGTCTCCCTAGAGGCAAGATTTTATATACTTCATTCGTCCTTGACGGATTGTCACAATTTGACTTTTTGGTCAAATTGTAACACCTTTTAATCATGAATTAAATATAATTTAAAATAATTAAATGTTATAAAAATTTAATATTTTAAAATTATATTTTAAACTAAACCTAATTTTAATAAATGCATATCATAACAAAACATATTTTTTTTCATAATTCGAAGTCAAATGGGTGGTACAATTTGATTAAAGAAGTCAAATTGTGGTAATCTTTTAATGACGGAGGGAGTATTATTTTTCGGCCAATGACTTTTTAGCTCTCATGATTAATTCTTTGATCGGATCAATTATATTTTATAATTTCTAACGTTAGTACATGAGCTTATTTCCATGAGAAAATTATCTAAATAGGACTAAAACATAATGTCTCAATATCGACTATATGTTTTTATTTCGTAATGTAGAATCATTGGTCATTATCAATTAGTCATTATTCAAGTAATCACTGGACATTATCCCTCCTACTAACATTATTAGGTACGAAGTACTATTTAGGGAACAAAAATGTTTAAATCCTACATGGAGAAATGATTTATGTTTTGGTCTTATTTAATGCAAATTTTACTATTTCTATTGGGACTTAGAGAGTTAGACCTTGTTCTCTCTGAATTATTCTTATTACTTATTTCACTAGATTCAGATCAAATCTAAATAGTTCAGTAACCTTTTTAAATATAATTACAAGGGAGATATCTCTAGGCAGGAGTAACAACTATGAAAATACCAAAACAGAAGTCATAAGTTTTTTTAAGACTAAAATTTGAGTTCACGCTGTCATTGTTACACTGCACACTCACCACATTGTCACATTATAATTCCACACTATCACCACCACACTGTCATCTGTCGTCACCGATCACTAGAATGTCGATGCAGATCACCAATGATTGACAGATCACACTAATATATTACACTGTCATCACTTTTCCATCACAATACCAACACGTACTCTTACATCACATTGTCATTATATTTCTATTTTAGTTTTAAAAGACTAAAGACTCCTATTTTGATATTTTTATACTTCTTCAGTCCTATTTAAGATTTTTTTAATTACTATCAGATCAGGCAAGAATGCAAGATCAGGTCAGATATTATTTAAATTAGATCTGATCGAATGATATCAAACAAATTAAAAAAATTAAAAAACATGGAGAGTAAAAAAAAGAAGTTCGTGGATGGGTCCGGGACAACGTTTTCCGTCACGCCTTGCTTTCGAGCCGTCATAATTTCTCCGCTTTCTCTGTTCACCCGCTGACCCTTCCACTTAACGGCTCCCGTCACACCTTTATCTCCTCCGTATATATACACTCAGTACCTGAATACGTTCACAATCTCTCTCTCTCCAAAGAAAACGCTTTCCGCTTCTCTCTCTCTCTAGAAACCATCACTTTTTTCATTTCTCTGTGATCTGAGTTTAGTTTGAAATGGTCGCGTGAAAAATAAGATCAAAACCCGAATCTTTTCCCCTCTTTTCTTGAGATTTTCAAAATCTGCTAGCCGTTTCACTTCTTCTTCTTCTTCTTCTTCTTTTGTTTCCTGCAAAAATATATAAAAAAAAATGGGCAAGAAAGATCAGAGTGTTAACGAGAATGATCAGAGAGTTCAAGCCGTTCTTGACATCATCAGAAAACTGAGCCCCCTGTCTCTCAAACAGGTACTCAATAGATAAATCCCACATTTTCCCTCTGTTTTTGAATCTTTTTTTATTCTTAAAATGTGTTTTTTTGTGGTCAGGAAAAATTCTGCAACAAGAGATGTGTGGAGAGGTTCTTGGAAGCGAAAGGGGGGAGTGTGAAGAAAGCTTCTAAGCTTCTTCGTGGCTGTCTTTCATGGAGGGAGTCTTTAGGAATAGGTTTATAATCCCCACTCTGTTTTATTAATGTGAAAAGAATCAAGAAGCAGAAAGTTTGAATTTTTCAACCTTGTTCTGGTTTTTTTTAATTTCTGGGTTTGAATTTATTTGTTTTTTTTTGAAAAAAAATTATAAATTTGTGTTTTTTATCTTGCAGATCGTCTAATGGCCGATGAGTTTTCTGCAGAACTTGCAGAAGGAGTGGCATATGTTGCTGGTCATGATGATAACTCAAGACCTGTTGTGGTACAATTAATGAAGTGATTAATCCCATTAATGAAGTGATTAATCTCATTAATGGAGTTCTTTAGACATTAAATTTCTTGATTAAAACAACTCATTTTGTTTGATTTGACAGATTTTCAGGCTCAGACAAGATTACCAGAAATTCCATTCACAGAAAATGTATGAGGATTGAATTTAAATTTTAAATATTTAAAAAGCAAAAGATTTTTTTTTTTAAAATCAATTATTAATGGGATTAAATTTGTGCAGGCTTACTCTGTTGCTGGCCTTTACAATGGAAGTGGCAATCCAAACCATGGCAAAGCATGTTGAACAGTTTGTGATCCTCTTTGATGCCAGTAAGTTTACAAAAAAATTGCATTATTATCAAAATGACAGTACTGCCCTTTGTTGGGCTTCATATGAAAATTTGAGAAATGAAGGGGTAAAAAAGAGATTTTGAGCAGTTCTGTTTCCCCTTCAAAGTCCAAACACACCAGAAACAGAGGAGTTCAGCTTTCTCTGAGTTGGGAAAGCAGGCCTGTAGCAATTAATGGACATTCCCAAACTGGCCTTTTCCCAGGAACCTTTATCAGACTGAAATGCCCCAATATTTTACCCCTTTTTGCATAGACTGCAATTTACCCATTCATTTTAACCAGCAGTAAAAATTCATTCCTCAGTACTTTTTTTTAAGACTGGCCAATGAGGAGGCATTTCAAACCATTGGCTAATAATTACATCTGCTGTCTAGTGATGCCTGAGATGATTTTGTCAGTGTGTTTTCAAGCTTTGCCTGGACTGCCCTTGAGAATGTATGTTAAGGGCATAAATGGTCATTTCCATTTTCATTTTTAACAAAGGCACAAAGCTATAGTAAATAAAACTCTAATGATAAGGACAAGGAAGGATTAAGAGATGTTTTAGGGTGTGTTAAGTAGATATTAAGCCATACAGTCTCATAGTTGTAAATTTGGCATCCTAATAATATTCATTTACACCAATTTGAAAATGTTTACATTGAGACCAAAGTGTGTACACCACACTTGACTTCATTTACATTAGATGAATATTTGATGCAAATGAAGACTCCATATGAAAAAGAAAAATTTGCACTAAATAGGACTAAAACATATGGAGTAAGTCATTTCCCAATGTAAGACTTAAACTTTTTAATAAAAAAATATAAAGTAGATAAATAGGATTCGACAAGAGTGGAAGTTACACCCAGTAAAAAATCACAAGTTTATGTTAGTGCCAAACTATTTTAAGGTATGATAAAAAAGGAACTGGCCGGCATTCTATTTTTGCTCTTGGCTATGTAATAAATTTAAAAAATGATTCAGTACATAACATTAAATGGTACAAAAGTAATACGGAGTAATAAATTCGTCTCTCCATTTTATAAAAAAAATTAGGACAGTCTAAATAGAAAAATGAGAACAAAAATATAGAATAGAACTATAGAAGATACATTTGAATGAACATGATGATAAATTTTAAGAATAGTATTTAAGAACACTTATGTCATTGTAAATTTGTCATTTCATCTTGGAGGCATAACATCTAAAAAAAATTCAATTCTGTAAATAATATAATCTCAACAAAAAATTTACTTTTTTTTTTCATTTTAGGTCACGAGATCAGCCTAAAAGGATCCAATATTATTTGTTACTACTTTTTTACCATGTGTGCGTCGAAAAACTCCAAAACAACTTTTTTTTTTGGGTACACAACTCCAAAACAAGATTGATTTGAGTTTTTATATTTATACTCCCTCTATGCACAAAAAAACAAGATTCATTGATAATGATATTTAACTAAAACCATTTAAATAATTTTTTTTAATGTTAATTCAAAATTTTAAAACCTTCTTGTTAATTTAACAATATTTCAGAATTGAAATCTGAATTTAGTTTTCAAACATGCTGTTAAAGTATATTATACTCTCCTCATCCCAAATTAAGTTATCTGTTTACTATTCTCATGATGAAATTCCATTCATTTTCTTTCTATATTTTTTTATTCATTTGATAAAATAATATAGTTATGTCAACTCTTATTTTCAAGAGCTTTTGGTGCCATTTATAAATATGTAAATTTTATTTTTTTAATTTCATCCCAAATTTCAAATAAATCGTATTGAAAATAACGTTAGTCATTGTCAAACATCATAAATCAAAATAATCGATTTTAATTTTGGAGTTAAAAAAATAACTCCAAAATTATTACTCTTTCCGTTTCTAAAATATTGCCACGGTTTAATTTTTTTGGTCAGAGTGTGACACCCTATGACCACAAATTAAATATAGTTTAAAATAATTAAATATTATAAAATTTTGATAATTCAGAATTCTATTTTAAAATAAATATAATTTTATTAAATTTGTATCATAACTAAATATTTTTTTTCATAATTTACAATCAAAAGGTGTCAGAATTCAATCAAAAAAATTAAACTGTAGTAATCTTTTATGGATGGGTGGAATATAATTTTGAGAATAGTGGTGGAAAGTGGGAACAAAAGGGAGGGAAGGGCAAAATGATTAGTTTTAATGATGGAAATTATTGTTGAGGGGACAGTTGTGGTGTTTTGGAGTACATTAATTAATGGAAGAAATTTTGGTGTGGGTACGGTGGTGCAGGCTTTTTCCGGTCGGCCTCCGCCTTTCTGAACGTGCTTCTGCTGGCTCTCAAGCTGGCCGCCGATTACTACCCGGCCCGCCTTCACAAGGCCTTCGTTATTGATCCCCCCTCTCTCTTCTCTTATATTTGGAAGGTATTTATTTATTTTATTCTTCAAAACACTTTTTGTCATTTATAAATTAGATTCCTATATTCTTAAATATTTGGTTTTTTTTAGATTTAATTGATTGAATTGAATACTAAAAAAAGAAAAAGAGAAGTGACTCAATTTATTATTGGTCAAAATATTTCATTGCATATTGTAAAAGTTAAATTGAAATAAAAAAATTGAAAAAATGAAATATGGTGTTAATCTTTTATTTCGTTCGTGCCAATTTAAATCGTCTGGTTTAATTTACGATATTTGAATGAAATTATTTTAAATGTAACTTATTTAAAATTTAGGTTGGATTTAGAAAAATAAAATTTACAAATTTAAAAAATATATCAAAACAGAAGGTGATATGACTATTTCTTAAAATGACTAAGAGGAAAAACTTCTTTTGAATTAAATTTAATTGAATTAAATTTATTCTGTACGTATAATTTTAAATTTGTCCTGTGGTTTGTCAAGTAGTTTCCCTATCGAATCAGTGCAAATAAAAATAAATAAAAAAATAAAATCAAATTTTGAATGCGTTTAATTGTTCCCATAGTGTGACTGATGTGAATGTGGACAGGGTGTAAAGTCATTTGTGGAGCTTGCACCGTTGACCATGGCGGTATCTTCCATTGACTTTGAAGACCCATTGGGATTCACCGATTTGTCCACGTGTCATAAGGCTGCGTCAGACCGGTTCAGCAGCCCTTCATCCACGGCCCGGATTGGCCCGGCCTGCTCTTCCTCCCGGTTCACTTTCACCGTCTCCCACCGCCACTTTGACTCCCTCAAGCCGTGGCACCTCACCTTGACCGACTCCGCCGCCATCTCGCCGCTCAACGGCCGGTCCATGTCCTTCGCGTCGCCCCTCGCGAGGGCGACGCCCAGGACGGGTTTCTTCCCGTCGACGCCGCTACCGGCGAAGAAGACCTCGGCGGCGATGACAAGGCCGTCCTTCTTCCAGTCTCCGGCCGTGTTCTTCAAGAGGGACGACCACGTCACCCGGCCCGACTGGTCGCGCGAGTCTTTCGTCCCGTTCTTGAAGTTCTACCGCCGGCCGTACGACGAGATGACTTACCGGGCGAAGATGAGGCCACCGCTCGGCGGCCTCATCGCCATCGTCCCACCTCATCTCAAGCGCCGCCACGTGTCGGTCTCGCAAAGGTTTTGATGAATTGTTATTTCTTACCGCAGTAAAAAAACACTATCAAGTGATGGTACATAGTTGAATATATTGATCAATTACCGTTATCCTTTATATCAACAAACAATTTATGTTACTCATAATTGTCTAATGACATTTTTGTTTATTACTCCGTATATTAATTATATAATGACTTTTCAAATGCAATATCATATATTTTTATTTATAATATAGTATCACGGTTCAATGTCTACGGTCATTGTTCAAGTAAAATGCATGTCTACTGCCACTGAATATTGTTCAAACTAACTATCCACTATCAGTGAACATTGTTCCCACCATTAGACATTATTCAAGTACTATTTAAAGAATAAAAATATTAGTTTAAGTACTAATTTGAGAAAATAGATATCTTTTTGTTCTATTTAATGTAAATTTCACTTTTTTTAATGAAAGTAATACTTCAGTCATTTGAATTCGAAGTTCCCAATATGGATTATGGATACAGCCGGCCCCAAAAATGAAAAAATAAATTTGGCCCGGTCCAAAATCTACATTTTGGGCCCTATTTTATTTTTGTAAAATATTTTTGCTTTAAAATTTTTAACAAATTATAAATATGGGGCGCTAAAATTTTAGTGCCATGTGCGGTTGGACACTTTGCACAACCTCCGGGCCACCCATGTGGATACATGGATCCACATGGCTTTGAACCATTCCATTCGAAATAAGGAACTAGAGTCAAAGCTAAAAAAATAGAACCCATATCTTATACCTCCTCCGTCCCATAAAACCTTTCTCATTTCTTTTTTCATCTGTCCTATAAAACACTTCTCATTTCTATTAAAAAATCACTTTTACCCCTTACTTTTTCATACCCTACCTACTACATCATACCTTTTTACTAATAATCTACACATCAAATCCTACTTTTATCCATCACATCAAAGGACATTTTTGGAAATTCAATACCAAAATACACTTTCTTAAATCTATTCAAAAAGCAAAACATCCCATGTTTCATGGGACGGAGGGAGTATTTAAATTAGTATTCAAATGATTGAGTACGGTTCTTTTTAATTACGAGTTAGTAAAATCACCTCAAAACCATACCTTGTAGCATTGTCAAACCATGCAGTAGTTTTTGTCAAATTAGTATTGTAAAAGCACTTAAAAGACCAAGATTAAGTAAAGATATAATCAATTTATTAATTTAACATTTTAATAATAATGGTCTGGCTCGGTAATTTTGGTTCTCATTTTTTGAGAACCAGTATCGTACCATTTTGAAAACAAGGGGGTTTGGTTTGGGGTAACATTAATATTTGAAAATGCATTTTTTTCGTTTGGAAAATAACAAACGTAATTATTAAGGTTGATAATTAACCTAAACTCAAACTAATGAGAAATTGGAACTTCCACACCCGAACCGTACCTGACACACATTAGAATATACGGAGTATTAAAATGTTATTGCCTACCACTGCAAACTTAAACTTTTTATTGAAATGATCATTATTTGACATTTTGTTCTTCCACAAACCTACAATATCTTGTAGTACTGTTGAGCTTGCACAAGTGGAGCTAACAAGTTTATGACTAGGCTGAATGGGTGTGTCAAGTGTCTTACAACTAGAAAACTTTTCCCCTTGAATAATCTCAAAAGTATATTTACTCAAAATCAACACCATTCCTTCCTTGCCTCCAACACATTCAATTCCTAAAAAATAAAAGACAGAACCAAGATCTTTAAAAAAAACAATCATCAAGATATTTCTCAAAAGATACACGGAAAGAGCTACAATATAATTCCTTGCAACAAGCTAAGAATATTATCAATATAAACCAATATGACCAAAATATTGGGACCACATCGGTAAACAAATGACGTATGAACTACATGAGATTGTCGAAAGCCATAATGTCGTAGAGTAGTGCTTAACTTATCAAACTAATTTTCTAGCGATTGACCAATCATCGATAAAGGGAAAGGTCAGGGACTCAAATCGATTTTGGCAGAATCAGTGTCATTAGGATGGTGGGAAAGTCCACCAAAGAATTGAAGGTTGGCATACTCGTGAAGGATTTGACTTTGTTGTTGGTACTGAAAACGGTAGCTGGGATTCAAAAAAAGAAACATCCCGAGTATGAAAGAAACAATAAGTTTCAAGGTCATAAACTTGTCACCTTTCATATCATGAGGATAACCATCGAAAATACAATTAACACTGCAAGGGGCAAATTTATTTGGGGATTTCGAGACGTGATGAGCATAACATAGACAACTAAAGATGGTGAGACGACTAAGGTGTTGGGTTTGGAATTTAGTATTTCAATGATAACTTATCTCCATACAACTTGGTTGAAGTGCAATTAACGAGATACACCACAATTTTTTGACACACTCATCCTAGAATTCAATAGAATGTGATGCCTGAAATATAAAATAACAGACACAATTCAGAATAAGTTGATTCTCTTGCGTTCGACTCGTTCATTTTGTTTTGGAGTACCTATCGAAGAAGATTGGATACATGCTCCCACTTCGTTGTAGTATGTATGAAGAGACATATTGAGAATTTCAATGTCATTATGAGAATGAATGATTTTGAAAATCTTTACTGACTTACGTTACCGGTTAGACTGTGTTTTGATCATGGTGAAAAATTATTGATATAAAATGTAATCTCGCTTTTATCCTGGATAAGATCTTAGTGCATCGATTGTGAAATGCGTCTTTTGAAAATTCGAAATAAAAATTAGTCGAGTTGGTCTAGCTCACAACTTTAGACACAAAAAATAAATATATTTCGAAAAAGAATATCAAAAATGTATTTATAATATGTTTGGTATAGAGAATTGGCAAAATTGAAATTGAATTGGAAGTTGAATAACTCTATGTAACGATGGAACGGGGAATAGAAGAAGTGGTGAGATTGTGGAAAAGTCAAAAGCCAAGCGGAGGGATATTAGTTTTTTTTGGGGGTGGCTTAGTCCACGACTGCGTGCTCCCCATGCGGAGGAGTACTAAGCCCCATTTTAAGGCAAAAAAAAAGCTTCCAAGGCCCTAATTAATTAATGGTCGAACGTAATAAAATAAGTGAAATTTGCCCCGATTAAGATTAAAATATAAGTCATTTCTCAATGTAGGACTTAAACTTTTTTATTCCTTAAATTGAACTTAATAATATCTAGTGAGAAGAATAATATTCAAGTGATTCTGGACATTTAGTTGAATAATGACTAATTGATAATGACCAATGGTCCTACATTGAGAAATAAAAACATATGTTCCTATATTGAGAAAGTCATCATGTTTTAGTCCTATTTAGGTAAATTGCTCATAAAATAATCATATGCTCCACCCATTGAATAATTAATTTGGACATCAAAATTAAACAAATCTATTCATTACAATAAGGTTGCATTATCTTCGTCCGAACGTATTTATACATCTGTTCTAAAACGATATTCTCATATTTATTTATTTTTCAGATGATGTAACCTTATAATCCCTCATATATAAGGCCTCTAAAGTCACATCAATAAAAATGACACCACTTTGTGACATCATTTTAATTAGAACACCTAGAGTGTTTTGATCATAAAATTTATTGTTCATATCCATTATAACCACCTAATTGTTCAAATTGGCAATCCGTGCTGAGTAGGGGCGAGAGTGACTGGGAGCGGGAAAATATTGGAGAAATATTTGAGGGGTAAATCAAAAATATGATATGATTAGTAGATTATTAGTGAATAAATATGGCATGATAGATATAATACAGATAAATAGAGTAAAAGTGAGCATTTAATAAAACGCAGAGTAGAATTTGTTTAAATGAAGGAAAAACGAAAAACAAGAAGGATTTTATGGGGAGAGGGAGTACAATAATACTCCCTCCGTCCCTGAAAACTTTTTCTTTTTTCATCCGTCCCAAAAAATACTTCTCATTTCTATTAAAAAGTCACTTTTACCGCTTACATTTTCATACCCTACCTATCACATCATACCTTTTTACTAATAATCTATCCATCAAATCATACTTTTACCCGTCACATCAAATGACATTTTTGAAAATTCAATATCAAAATACACTTCCCTTAAATCTCTCTTCAAAATCAAAACACCCATGTTTTCGGGGACGGAGGGAGTAGAAGAGAAAATGTCTTCTACGGAGCATTTTTCCTTTTTCACATTTTCTCTCTCTATTTTCACCTCATTTATCCTTAATCAAAACAACAATAATTTTCTATGTATTTTTTTCATATTTTTCTACGGAGTATCATTTTCTCTCATTATCCGAACAAGTAAAAGTCTCTCAAAATGTGACATACATTCATGGGCAGCCCGGAGGGTGTGCACCGCACAAGCCCCTCAAACTTTTAGGGCCCAAATTTGTTAGATATTTACGGAGTATTATACGTAGTACTTGATATTTTTAAATTTAATATAAATTTATATTTTAATATTTAAATCGTTATAAAAGTGCTTATTAAATTCAATTTGAGCACTAATTTTAAAGTACAAATATTCTTCAAAAAAAGGCTCCAACACGTAAAATATTGCACATGGCTAATATCGTTTTTTCATATTTTCGGACCGGCCCTACATACACTGCTGGGTAGATAAATGTACAAGCAGTAGTAATTAATGGAGTAATTAGTTTACGAGTAACGTAAAGACGGTAAAGTACATGCTTGAGCAATGATGATGATGATGATGATGATAATACGGAGTAATAATAATAATAATGATAATAATAATAATAGTCAAGCTACAGTGACGTTACACACACAGATACATATATACATATATATATATATATATATATATATATATATATATATATATATATATATATATATATATATATATATGGTGTTGCTAAATCCACCCCCCAAAATGGCTATATCCACACCTTTTACCAACATTTGCTATATCCACACTAAACCTGTGCAAATAAGGATCCGGGCCGGATCTGGGCCGGGCTTAATATAAATTATTAGCCCATTTACATGGGCGGGCTTGGCCCGGCCCGTATTTGATGGACTAAATTCTTTACCCATACCCGCCCATCTTTGCGGGCTGGACTGCCCACCGGGCCGCCCGACCCGGATAAAACATCAAGAAAATTTATTTTGTACAAAAAATTCAAAAAACATTGAACTCTTTTTAATGTTGAAAATAAAATAACCAGTCACCACATTTATATAGAAAGCATAATAGAGATATTGTTGCATAATTAATAAACTTATCATACTGATTAAATTAAAGAGTATTGATTTTTGTTTAAAAGAGGGGGGTGAATTAAACTATTATACATGAATTGTAGAAAATTTTAAAATTTGTATTGGCTAAGTAATTAATAATAAAGTAAATATATTTGATGAATATGGGTGGGCTTGTTGGCCCAGATGGGCTAAAAGTAATTTTCAGATCGGCCCATATACAATTCGGCTTGGGCCGGCCCGCCAATTTGGGTATTAAAGGTTGTCCATATCCGCTCCTTTTAAAGGGCGGGCTGGGCGGGCCGAATGGGCCGACCCTTGTTTGCACAGGTCTAATCCACACCCATTAATATAAAGTTTATATTGGTGTGGATTTAGCAAATTTATGTGAAAGGGGTGGATATAGCCATTTTTGGGGTGGATTTAGCATCACCCATATATATATATATATATATATATATATATATATATATATATATATATATATATATATATATATATATATATATATATATATATATATATATATATATATCCCTATTTCTATAAGCGCCTATCTCCGTTACCTTAGGCTTTTTCCCGTTTAATTTAACGCCTCACTCCCACTATCCGTCTATACTAAATAGCACGAAAAATGAAGGCTATTGGTCAGTTTGCCGCCCACCGCCCCACGACAATGCCTTCTTCACCGTTCACCGCCCCACTCTCGAGAACTATCCTCATATATCTTCCCTTGGATGCATTTGGCTCTTCTATCACCGGCATCTACATCAAAATTGCTCAGCTTCCTTCGGCAACCGCTAGGTAAATATCCCTATGCTTTTCCAGTTATTCCTGCAGTACCTTCGGCTAACACTCGTGCCCAAGCTTGGTTTCCCATAGTCATTACATGAAAACTGAAATTATAACACACGGAATTGTTCGTAGCACATTGAAAACTTAAAGAACTGATGAATTCGATCTCTTATTATTGCTTGACCCTAAAACTGACCCAAAAAAAATTATTCCAGTCACTCTAAAAAATTTTGCCTCAGCCGCTGATTTTCGATTTTCCCCTCAAATTTCTAGACTCGAAAAAATGCATTAGGTTACCTAGGGTTTCGAATGTTCACAGTTATTAGATTTGATGAGTACACAGTTTAAACTTGATTTAGAGTAATTTTGTTATAATGAATTGATTAAAAAACTTTTAGAAGATACCCATCTCAATCTGCATGTGACCATTAAACGAGCATGAATGAAATTATGTTCAAAGAATGGCTTTGTTCACCTGTAATTAGAAATACTCTAATGCTTCAGAGTCATACTACATACTCCGTAGTATAGTATAATAAAAAGTGGACAACAAAATTAATATTTGTAATGCTTTCTGAAGTCAAAACTGTCCCTTTTATGAAGCATTAAAAACTTAAATCAAAGTTTGGATGTGGAAAAAATATAAAAGAGTGTACTTATTTATGACTAAATAGAGTAAATAAGTCCACTTAAATAGTGATTTCACATACAGAGTATAGGTGCTTGCCTTATGTCTGTATATGCTTGCCTTATGTCTAAACAGAGTCATAAAAACTCCGAACCAATAAAAACTTTGTATATGTTTTAATCAAAGCATAAGGCAAGCAAATTACTTTCTACTTCAGTTACTGTGTTATTTACTCTATTACTGTAAACTTTGTATATGCTTGCCTTATGTCTGTCATCCATGGTTTAAGTCCATATTTGGAACAAACTTTCACATAGAGATACAAACTGAAATCATACATTTATTTCTATATGTGTAAGTGACATTTATGTGTTCTTTGGTTATGTGATTGCATATATAACATAACATGAATATCTTCAATAACATCAGACTTAGTAGGCAAATGAATGCTGCGGAACATCGCCATTTGTAAATGTAGCTATGCTCTTACACTTATTTTTCTTTGGCCATAATTGGATGCAATGAAATCACTGCATCCAGATACCTCTTAGGTTGTTTCTTTTCCCTATTTTACCATCGGTTACCTCACATGATTCTACATATCCTTTACATCTCTCTTCAACATCCAATTATGTGTTTCCAACCCAAGAGAACATACCTTAAATATGCACCATTTATTTGTACACATATTCCTTAATGTGTGAACTGTGAACTGTAATTAACCAAATAATTTAACCTGAAAGCGTCATTCCCCAAGAAAGCACATGCACTTTTTACATGACCTATGTAGTAAGTATCTAAAAAACTCATAAAAATTGAAATTCACGAAAAAATGAAAATGGCATAGTACTTTTTTTTCTTAAAAAGAGATAGAGAAGATGAGGAATGGAAGAACCTGCAATGTTCCTTAGCTGGTTTAGATCCCACCAGGATGAATGGGTCTGAATTTGTGCCTCCAATCTTCTCTGGGCTTCAATGGCTTTGAGCTGGAGTTAATGATTGATAGATAATTATTTCCCACTAAATTTGTTTATGTAACTATTCTGAACTCAAGTAACAATTTAAACATCTATTTTGACTTCTCTAACACTATTTGCATACCTTATTCAAAATAAGTTCCCAATGAACTCTGAAAATACAGTTTAAGGCCTATGGGATTCATAGGTCGATGTATTCTCTCCTATACTCTTGATGAATTGAAATGCTCAGTGTGCATATAAATTCATTTCCTTTTCCTTAGTTTGGATTCATAAATAGAAGTGTGCCTAAAATATATGGAATATCATGCACTATTATTCTAGTCTAGATTTTAAAGTACACAGATTTTAGTGAAAACTGTAGTCTTTCTTACTCCATAAAGTACTATTAGGCCCAAAACAACATCTCGTCTTATAATCTGGCTGTAGATGTGTTTTGTAAATGGGAAGTTCAAAAAATGATTTAAGGTAAAACCATTAATCTGCGTTCAACTATACATGAATTTGTAAAATGAAGAAAGTCTTTTATTAATTCCATTTTTGCTTCTCCTCTTTTGAAAGGGAAATTCTCCTACTTACCACCTAACTTCTAAACAATGTACTTTCATTTTTATCTTTAGAACGATTAACTTATTTTAGTTTTTAATTATTTATGCAGGTGACTCTTATACTGTTTGTGGTCTTTCTTGATCTCTTCAAGTTACAATTTAACTTCCTTGGTATGTTCACACACTTTAAAATTATGCTTGTATTAATTCTTGTTTTTTTAAAGGTGCTTTCTAAGTAGTTCACCCTTCTTGGAATTTAGTCAAAGCCTTGATATATATACTCTCTAAAATTTGCGTTCTTCGAATGTTTAATATGCAATGCATGCCCTGTAATTGCTTCACCATTCTTGATTCCTTACATCCATTCATTCACTGTCTTTATTGGTTGGGTATTCTTCATCTACTGTGTCCAAAGATATAGGATACAATCACATGAAACTACAAAACCGAAAACTAAATTTTTATCAAAAAATTAATTCATTTTAAACCATTTATCTATGGTGAAGTATGAACTGATTTTAAAATTAATCAGACTCTTTACTTTCCCCATGTTGATCTGCTCAACTTATTATTCGACTTCCTTCATATGATTACATGCATTTAAGAAATATTTATGTTTTTAAAATGGAATGTTTTCTACCTTTCTTCAAATGTGTTTTAAGTTTACTACTTTAATTACAATCACATGAAAGTAGAAAACTGAAAAATTATTTTTTATCAAAAAATTATTTTATTTCGAACCATTTATCTATGCTGAAACATAAATTGACATAAAAAATTATTTCATTTCGAACCATTTATCATTAGGAAATACCTGATATAAAAAATACTACATAAAAAAAAAGAAAAGAAGAGAGGGTAAAGGACACCTGTAGAGGACCAGATCTTGCAGATTTGAGTAGTTTAACTTGTAAAGTAAAACCTGCATCTCCCCATTCAATAGGCTAAGAAGCTAGCACCTTGCCGTGCTTTGCATGGGACCCCGGCGCCGGTGCCCCTTCCTTTGTTACGTACTACTGTTTTATATTTATTTGGGCTAGGCAAGTTTAAACGCCTTCGCAGCCCCTACTCCAATTAAGGCAAGTTTTCCTTATTCAATTATACAATCAAAACATAGGTATTGAAGAGGTAAGATGATAAAAAAATGACAAAATATTAATCCAACGCACAGGAGGTCTTGATGGCTAAATTTGTAAAAAAAATTGTGCGATGATTTGAAGTACGTGCTTAATCTAACTCAACTTTCTATGTATTGATATGAAGTAGGAAAGAATATAACCTTGTAGTGTTCAAAGAAGCTAAAAAATTGATGTGAAGAACATATAAATCTTCTACCTCACTACTTAAATTCAATCCACTTTACTCAACTTCTTTTACTTTATTTAGGTTTAATACTTAAAATTCAAAATCTTCAAATAATGTCAAAAACATTTTAGTACAAGGAAGGTATATTCTTTTCATTTGAAATTGTCTAATCAGCTCATCTTCGAACTCATAATCTGTTTTAAAACCTGCCCCTTATTGTCCGGTTTCTTGTTTAAAATCAGCTTGAAAACCACATTTTTTCCAAGAATTAGTCACTAATATTTGACTTTTCAATTAGATTAAATGGAAATTGATAGGGCAGCCCTTAAAGTTACACTCAAGAATTGACTTTCTTTAATCCCCTTTCTTTTTAAAATAACCCCTACACGTTCTGTTTCGAAATTAACCTCAAAATCAGACCTATCTTTGAAAATCAGCCCTTAAAGTACCAATTTTCTCATGAAAGTCAGCCCTAAAAGTTTTGACACCAGCCCCTAAAGCCTTTGTCTAAAAGTTTCACAGTGCCAATGAATGTGCCCGAATCGAGACTACTATCACTTCAGTGATGCTTAAATAATGGTGCCAATGAACTACTTCTTGATGCCTTTCGAACACAGTGTATTAATGTACCGAAACTACTGTCCCTACCAAGTGGTCTACAGTAAGTAAATACTCCGTAAGTACCAAACTGATCATTTCTTGATGAGCAGCAGGTGTTCAGGCTAATGATGAGCAAAACTTCAACAGTTCTTTACTCAATTCGGTTGTTTATGGTAACTATCACTTTTGATACTCTTTTCCGTGTTATGCAGCGACATCAGTTCATTTCCCATATCCATTTATTCTATACCCATTCATTCGTTACCTTTGGCCTCTGCTATTTTGAAACTATACAAGACTAAAGACCTGCAGCATCACCAAACGAGCAAATAGCGAGTCTTTACAAGCTATCAAAGACTTTTAATGCCTTTACTACGTTAGCTACCTAAAAACAACACTCATCTTAGACTTAATTACGTCAGTAATAGGAAGCACTTTCATTAAGTAGGCTGACTTCTTTGTTCCTTCATCAACTAAACTATACCGACGCTTATAGGTTAAATAGGCTCAATCAAATACTTATCGGTTGAGTCACTTCATACCTCATTACTTCCTATTTAATGATATGATTCTCATCAATTGTCATCATCTAAGTTGCCATTAGAGTATTTGGAGGACCATAATATGCTCGATATATCCTTTCAACTTCTAATATGCATGTCACACTTTAATTTAAACATATACAAATATAATACATGATCATACAGGGAGACATCCACTGGGTTGAAGGACAATTGCAGGTCTTAGAAACGGGAGACATTACATTCTACATTGGTTGCAGCAGTTGCAACAGAAAAGTGGACTACATAGAAGGAATCAATTTTAAATGCATGCTGTGTGGTGACCCTGAAGCAAAAACCATAAAGAGGTAACGACTTCCTCTTTACCACGATAGACACTGAATCTATTTTGCAATCCATACTTTCACCTTATGAATACATTTGTTTAATCTATTTTACAATTCATTACAGAATCAGAATTCTGTCCGAAATAAAAGATGAAATTAGTGCTCTACAAGTGACACTATTCATCGACACACTCGAAAAGATTGTACGATCACTTGAATTGAATACACCAATGGAGTTGCTAAAATGCGGGGATTTGAACAACAGTCTTGAATCTCAGAAGGTAACGGCTGCAGTGCAACTACCACCTCGCACCGACCAAACATCTGCATCGAAGACATTCTCACTTCTATGCCTGTATGACCCCGTCATGAAAAAACATCAAGTCCAACCTTAAAGAGAAAGCTAAAAGTGGAACAACCCAGCCCCAAAAAACAGTGCTGAGGTCCTGCTACCTTGGAAAGCTTAGTTCAGTACATGTGCAATGCATTTTGTCTTGTATACCTACCTACCCCTTGTTAAAAACTTACTTCACTACTACTAACACCCAGCTACAAGGAACAAATTAAGTTCCAAATTTTGTCACTCCCTCTAATATAGTTTGTAAGTTGTAATATATTACATGTGATGTCTGTAGCCATCACTCTTTTGTAACCATCACTCTTTTGGAACAAAATAAGTTACAAATTTTGTCACCCTCCAATACAGTTTGTATGTTGTAATATATAACATCTAATGTAACCAACACTCTTTTGTATAATATTAATATACTTCTACTTTGTCAAAACATATATATCTGGGCACACACACACACGAAGTGTGTCCCATGCTAGTGTATATATATATATATATATATATATATATATATATATATGGAATATATGTGCATGGACTCTTTGTGTGTTATTTTGGCCTTTTTATGACTAAGTTTGGTACGTGTTTTATGTTTGGATTTTAACACTCACGTCTCTCATATACTATGTCGTCCTGTCTAGAGGTCTTTCATGTTTTAACATTTTTTATAAAATAGTGATACTTTTTTATCACAAATTATGAAAAACATATATATTTGATTATAATATATATACGATATAATTGGGTTCATTTATTTATTTAGATTATGTTTAATTTATAGTCAAAGAGTGTCAGTTTTAAACCAAAAATGTCAAAACAAAAAATGTTTTTACGAGTGAAGGGAGTATAACAATAGTGGTGTTTTGATATTTATCATGATCGAGCTCATAAAAGTTGCTACCTTAGGATGAAATAATCATATGCTCCCTCGGTTCAAAATTATAGTCACACTTTTATTTGAATAATACTCCGTATGTAAAACCATATCCTTTTTTAAATTATTTTATCTATGAATTGTGAATATAAATAAAGAGTACTGATTCCATGATCTAAAAGTCCACATATGAAATATAGGTCTTCTCACATTTTTCATGAGCCGATATGAAGATCTTTTATTTTTTTATAGTCCAATCCATCCAAGAAATTTATATACCAATAAGATCCATAAAATGAGTGTGGAGCTTAATATCACAGAAGAATTTACCGTAAATAAAAAGTACAAGGTACTGATAGAATTTAAGATGAGGTGAGATTAATATACAAAATTTTTACTGACTTTCAAAATTTTTTAAAAAAATTTGATCATGTGGATTAATATACAAAAAAATTGTATTTTCATATAAAAAAGTGAAAAAAATAATAATGAGTGTGAACCATAAAAATAGTGATGAGATGAAAAAATGGAATAATTTATAAATTATAGTTATGAACATAATAGTTGTAATAATAATAATAATAATCACATTAAGAATATATCGTTTATAGAGTAATTGGTTGTGGAGTAGAAAGAGTTTGAAGAAAATGAGAATAATTAGAAAAAACAGGAAGAAACTAGAAGGAATTAGAAGAAACTAGAAGAACAGTTTAAGCTCTAAATGTTAATTAACGTTATATAGTTATAAACAAAACAAAATAGTGTAAACATTGTTAAGAATCATGGGCGTTTATTTGGTAAGACAAGTTTCTTATCTATTTTTTCAGGTGTCAAGATGCTAGTTATGGACTTTCTAACCTATCCGCTGATAAGCAATTGCAAAAAAGAGAAAGATGATATGGCCGAAGGGTAAACAAGTAGAATAGAGTAGACTACAAGAGGAGAAAATCAAAAGGCAACATGAAGAATTAAGTCCTATGCACATTTCTATGTAATCCAACCCGGCCTGAGGGCCCCTGAGACCCGGCCGAATGGTCACCGAGAATATGTAAATTGGATTTTGATCAGAGATTAGTGCCAAAGATTGGAGCCTGCACCTAGTACCCAGCGCAGTTGTTAGGAATCGACTCAGGTCTTACCCCTTGACACTTCAGATATTTTGAAGATGTTAAACCAGATGTTGATATTGACACCAAATTTTTGGCTCTTAATGAATTGTCAGAAGGTAATTTGGTTTGATTTTTTCTGTTCTGTCCTTTAAAAAAATCTTCTTCTTTTTTTGGTTATGATTTGTATAAACTATATATAGTGCATGATGCTTAATGTCCATATAATTTATACAAGTTAATATGATTACTTGCTATTGCATTTATCTGCAAGCATGACATGCCATTATTAGCAAGTTTTATTTACACTTAAGAAACTTTGATTCCCCATCTGGGTTGTTTGACAACTTCTGAATGGGTAAGTGCTAAATTAGTAAGAGGTCTGAATCATTAAGTGCTGAACCAGTAAGAGGTCTGAACCATTAAGAGCTAGTATATTGCTTAACTATTCAGAGGCAAATGTCTGGTCAATTCAGATAAGAGGTATTAACCATTCAGACTCTGTATAATACTTAACCATTCAGAGGCAAATCTCTTAACCATTCAAATTTCTGAACCATTAAGAGGCTGAAACAAACAGTCTGAACCATTAAGTGCTGAACCATTCAGACATCTGAACCATTAAGAGGCTGAAACAAATAGCCCCTTAGATGTTTATATATGGTCCATTTGGTTCGGTTTGATATTCTTTTGTGGAAAACAGATGAATTGATCATAAGAAGATCTTCTCATCTCCATCTGGCAAAGTGATTCGAGGCATCACGCCTTTGTTGATCCCATTGTTTCCTATAAGCTTCAAACCTTGTCCAAGTAAGGCTCTTTTCTTTGTTGTCTTAGCTAAACATTTAGGGGATTTTTTTCAACCCCAACTTTGGAACGTTGTAAAATAAAGGCATCTCATCTCATATTTGTAACAAAATCATACCCCAACTTTAAGAATTATAACAACAAACTGATACCCCCTGGTCTAAATTGTCATATATCGGCGACCCGGTCTTAAAGAACTTTTTTCCTTTTAAGTTGACATATTTATGCTATTAATGTCAAATCATAATATGATATTAACTCTAATTAAATTAAACATGCATTAAAAATTTTAAAAATAACAATTAATTGATTGCAAACAAGTTTTTTATATTTATAAAAAAATAGTTTTATTTAAAAAAAAGTAAAAAAATTAAAATAAACAAGTAAAAGTGGTAAATACAATATCTCAATTCTTTTAATAAAACTATATTTTGCAAATATAATACATTTTTTCAATGAATTTATTAATTTAATTTAATTTAATCTTATATTATCATTTGACATTAAATATTTTTTTTGTTATTTATTGAACATAAAAAAACTAAAAAAAATACTACGAATTGAAGAGAAGACACAATTAACATGTAGGAGAAAAAATAGCCACTTGGGATGCTAACTTATCACTGGATCACGAGAATATGACAATTCCGGCCAAGGGTTTCAGTTTGACATAATTCTTAAAGTCGGGCAACTTGGTTATGATTTTGTTACAACGCTCAAAGTTGGGATACCTATTGTGAAAAAAAGCCAAACATTTAGTTGTAAATTTTGGCCAACTTTTTTTATACTTCATTTCAGCTTTTAAGTTTAGCGTTTATAAAATGGAATTGTATCGTTAAAAATTTATCAAAAACACTAACCGGAAAGTAAATCCAACGCCAAGCGGAAAAGTAAAGGAAACAAAACCCAAAATTTTTGGGAGGAAAATCGGTCTCTTGATTATCAATTTCGATAAAGAAATATTATAATTTTTATTGATTACTTTCATTTAAGAAAAGTCAACTACTCTCACCTCTCATTAAACAAACTTCTCACTTTGAATTTCATGACTTTGATAAAATGTTGCAAAGTAAAAGTATTGTTAGAATTAGTTAAGAGAAGAGATTAAATTTCTTAGAAACATTGGCAGTATCATTTGGTATTGTTTAGATATTAGAAGAGAGAAATGTTGTAAATCATAAAAATAGTAAGAGTGTGGAGATCGAAAATCCGAAACACTCCCTACGTCTCGTTTTAAAGTGTGTTTTGGTTTACGATGTTTAACTAGAATTATTTTCAATTCAATTATATATATGAGAATTCGGGTGAAATGAAAAAATAAAATTTAAATGTTTAAAAATTACATAAAAAATCTTTTAAAGAAGTGGTTGCATGACTATATTTTTTTATCAAATCGTTAACGAAAATTGGTAAAGAAAATGAATAGAGTTCGAGTTTGACAATTTGTGAATAATAAACAAATAGTTTAATTTGAGACAAATTGAGTATGATTATAAATTAAATATAATAAAATTACACCATATTACCTAAAATAAAAAGTAAAAACAGGTAATTATTACGAGTATTTTTAATAACAAAGGGAACAATGGGAACATCATGCATTCATATATCAACGCCCTTGTCACAACGCCAAACACCACCCATAACATCCGGGGGAAAGCTCAACTAACCGCGTTTGAAAAGCTTCATAATTTGATTTTAAAGGCTTTAAACAAAATAGTGGCCATGTCTTAAAATATTTGTCCAGTTTCATTTTTTAGTCAAATTGAATAAATTTTGAATCTCAATTAAATAAGCTTGTAATGCACTCTCTTCGTCTAAAAATGAATTATCCTTTTTGAGTAATGTGTAAAATCCTGTATGTGATTTTTAATATAATTTTATTTACAAATTGATATTAAAATAAAAAACAAAAAATTTTCCTTTAAAAATTATATAAAATATTTTACAAAACAAGAGGGGAAAAGAAATATTTTATTATATCAAATGATTAAACGAAAAGATGCAAACAAAAATTATCAAGAAATTGTAATAGTAAGGAGGTAAATCATTGTGTGACGGAGGAGTAAATTAGTAAAAAAAGATTTCAATATATTTATTTTGTTGAAATTTTTTAAAATTGGATATCATTGTATTAACATACAATATAAATTGAGAGTAATTGATTACTAAAATTCATCAAGTTTGACACTTTGATTGATCTTAGTGATTGAAAAAAGTCAAAGCTAAATAAATATTCCAAGACGAAGAGAATATATTTAAAATGATGTGATAAACAACAATTTCTCTAATTGAGGCATGATTTTCGTCATTGATGATGTCATTAAGGCTCCGTTTGGCATCAGCGTTAGAGGTTAGTTAGTGTCAGCGTTTTGAAAAGGCTGTCTGACGGTAGCCTTTAGCATTAGTATTTTCAAAGTTAATCTACACCGTTAAAATTTTATCCAAAACGCTAACGCTAATAGAAAACGTTCTTTCCAAACAAGGCCTAAATTAAAGCCCCTATCGACTCCAAAGTAATTTCTTTTCAAAACTACTTTAATGACTTCCAATTGTTGACATACATCCCTTTCATGTCGCCGGAGTCATTGGGTTACTAGGAAATCAATAAAACAAGAATGTTGTAAAGCCATGCTTTAGGAAAATATTCATTGTCTAAATAAGATTAAAGTCTTGGTTTAATTTTTCTCATAGTGTTTTAAAATTATATCATTGTTTTTTGTCAAAGAACCAACTCAACCAAAAGCTCAAGCTTGTGGTTGTGGCCCAGGAACAGTTATTTATATTCTAACACGCCCCCTCACGTGCAGGCGTAGTCTTTTTTGAGCCTTGCACGTGAAACCTTAATTTTTTAAACTGGGTGGCGTTGAGTTTCGAATCCGTGACCTCTTAGTCAACAAGGCTCCGATACCATGTCAAAGAACTAATTCAACCAAAGCTCAAACTTGTGATTGTGGCCCAGGAACAGTTATTTATATTTTAACATGCCCCCTCAGTTAGAATATAAATAACTGTTCCTAGGCCACAACCACAAGCTTGAGCTTATGGTTGAGTTGGTTCTTTGACATGGTATCAGAGCCTCGTTGACTAAGAGGTCACGGGTTCGGAACTCAGCGCCACCCAGTTTAAAAAAAATTAAGGTTTCACGTGCAAGGCTCGAAAAAGACTACGCCTGCACGTGAGGGGGCGTGTTAGAATATAAACAACTGTTCCTGGGCCACAACCACAAACTTGAGCTTTTGGTTGAGTTGGTTCTTTGACATTTTTGAAAAAAAATAAATAAAATACTCTTATAAAATTTATTCTAGGACCAAAAAAGTATACTTTATACGCACTATAAATATACAATTCCACCATTCAACTATATCTCATCTTTTACATTATCTCTACGTGTTACATATCAATTTGTGTTCATTTCATTAGCCATGGCGGCTAATGGCAAAGGAAATGGAAATGGAAGCTTCAATTTTCTTATTATTCTGCTAATTACCATTCTTATAATTCCCATGCTAAATAAGGCGCCCATTGTTGTTTGCATTGCCTCTAATCAAGGTCACATTCTTTAATTTGTATTTTCATGACACACACACACACACATATATATCCTCTGTTCGTCTCACTATTTTTGTCTCATAGTCGTACAATATTTCATGATATTTGTTTGTTGGATTCACATTTTTTGTGTCTCTAGGCGACGAGAATTCGGCAGCTGTGTCTCTAGAAGTTGTCCACCGGCTCAGACTGACCGACAACCGTGGTCTCGGTCAGCTAGCCGGGCTCCAATCTACCCGTCGGAGTCAGCCGAAATATTACAGCGCGAACCTCCCGGTTACACACAAGTCTCGGAATGTCCTCGGGTCCCACTCGGTGCAGGTTTGGCTCGGGAGCACGCACACACCACTGACCCTAGTCCTCGACACGGGGAGTGACGTGACGTGGACCCAATGCCAGCCGTGCGACCGCCACCGCCACCGCTGCTACAACCAGGCTGGCCCGATATTCGACCCGAAAAAGTCGACGACCTACTCTGCGGTGACCGACAAGGCCCGGTGTGGGCCCGGACCTTGTGAGTACGGGGTGGAATACACGGACGATTCGTTCTCTTTCGGCACCGTTTCCACCGACAACCTCACCCTGTCCCGCGGCGTCGTGGTGTCGAAATTCCTCTTCGGGTGCGGGCGAAATAACACGTTGGGTGGACACGACGACGCGGGCCTGATGGGGTTGGGGAACACAGAACTTTCCTTTGTCTCCCAGACATCCCAAAGATTCAGGAGAAAATTCTCGTATTGCCTCAACACAGAACAGGGGGGCGGAACAGGGCATTTAACGTTCGGCGGCGGGGCTCGCGGTGGTAGTATCAAGTACACCGAGTTACTCCATGATTATTCCGGTTCTGGTTTCTACTTGGTTGACATGGTCGGCATAAACCTGAACGGGGTGCAACTGCCGATCAGTTCGGCGGTGTTCGGCAACGGAACTTTTGTCGACTCGGGGAGGTCAGTATCGGTGCTGCCGCTTGAAGCGTACCGAGTTTTGAACGACTCGTTCGCGAAAACAATGGGGAGGAAATACCGGAGAGCAGAGGGGGACGGGGTGCTCGAGAGTTGCTACGACTTGAGCGTTGCGGCGGCGGCGGACATACCCAAGGTAAGCTTCAGGTTCGGCGGCGGGGTTGTGGTGGATCTGAATCCGGCCTCCGTCGTGGTGGACGTGACAGGGGACCCGCGCCGCTCGCGCGCGTGTTTGGCTTTCGTCCCGGATTACTCTCCCGATCAAATGGGAGTGTTTGGGAACTACCAGCAGCAGACTTTGGAGATGGTGTACGATGTTGCCGGAGGGAAGCTTGGATTTGGCCAGAATGGCTGTACTTAATTTTGCATTTTTTTGAGGAGACATGCATGTATGTGTATTACCGAGTATTTTTTTTTTATAAAATTTGCTAAAACATAATGACTTTCCCAATCTATGAATTAAACTTTTTTATTTCCTAAATAAGACTTAATAATGACTTAGTGGGAAGAATAATGTCCAGTAATGATGGACATTTACTTGAATAATGACTACATGATAATGACCAAAAGTCCTACATTGGGAAATAAAAACATATGGTTCTATATTGGGAAAGTCATTATGTTTTAGTCATATTTAGGTAAATTTCTCTACTTTTTTTTCTCTTCCAATTTAATCTTTTCGTTTCACATTTTTTGTTAAAGTTTGTAATATTTAATTTCGGTGTGCAAAAAAAGTACGGAGTATAATATTTCAATATAAACATAATATCAATGTTTTTCTTTTAGAACGTAGTTTTGAAATATTAAAATTCTATAAAATATAATCTATCCGTTCTCAAAAACATTTTCTCTTAAATTTTTTCTACTTTCAAGAATACACTTCCACTTTCCTTTTAAAAACTATTTTTACCCTTACTTTTTCATACCTTAGAGCACTGGTAGTACCCCTCACGCCCACCGGCGTTACGGGGCGTTTAACGCCCGGGGGCGTGAAACACCGCCCCCCGCCGGCGTGAAACGGGCGTGAGGGCGCCTGCGTCATTCGTTTGACGCGGCGTGACTCTTGCGCGGTTCCTCCTAACGGCTAAAAAAGCCGTTGCAGCCCACATTTCAAAAAAAAAAAATTTTTTTTCCTATAAATTCAACCCCCCCAACCAATCTCTCACACCTTCTCTTCAATCTCTTCCTCTTTCTTATTTTTAAATTTCAAAATTCAAACTCCCCCCTCCCAAATTTCAACATGAATCCTTCCGGCTCCGGCTTCTTTCCCGACGATCTCCCGCCCGTTGACGCCGCGATGTGGTATTACCAAGAGTTGGGCGATCGACTGTCGATGTACGACACGCAACAGTCGGGGTACGTCGACCGAGATTCGGTTCCGGAGACTCAACTGGAACCGTCCGGATCGAAAAAAAGTACACGCCGGAGAAGCCACAAAGCCAAAAGCACGTTGACCGAGGCGGCGCGGTCAATCCAAAAGTGGACGCCGGAGGAGGAGTGCATATTGGCGTCGGCTTGGGTTGACGTCTCCGAGCATCCTATCATTGGTTAAAAATTTATTTTTTGTAATATATTTATGTTTTTATTTTTATATATTATATTTAATGGTGTCTAAAAAAATTGTGTAATACATTTTTAAAGGTACGGAGCAAACGAAGGATGCGATGTGGGATCGTATCGAGGAGAAGTTCTTCACGGCGATGAAGAAGGACGGCTCCTACCGAACCCGGGACCAACTCACTTCCAAATGGAGCCACATCAACAAAAAAGTCCGAAAGTTTATGGGAGTTTACGAGGGATGCTCCCGGTCCCGGAGGAGCGGCACGAACGACGCCGATGTTCTCCGTCTTGCCACGACCCGGTATCAAGACGACGGGAACCAAGGCAAGGTGCCCATCGATCTTTGGAGGATTTTGAGTCGTTCCCCGAAGTGGCAACAACTCAACAATCCCGACGGCGGATCGTTCCGGAAAAGATCCACCGTCGACGCCGAG